AGCACATGCTATCCGTATGTAGATAATGTTGTTATATTACATTTAAATGTGTTTCATTTTACTAATTGCATTTTAGTACTATCAATTATAACATAGCCACCATTGTGTATAACTACACTTGATCTACGGTGGACATTTACAACTGTAACCATCTATGCATTTCTTTATATAAAATATAATAAACATATATCTTCGCCCATCTGTGCGTTCGTTTGTATAACAGTACCTGCCCACAAGTTTCAAATTTAATTAGTGATGAAATGTCTTTGTCCATCAGTTGCAAAAGGGGAGTTTCAATTTGAACAATTACTAATTTACATGTCGGGTGGCAAATAATATTTCGGTTTTCTGTACATGCTTTAGACCATATTGCAGTTGTGTAATATGGTACAAAGTTACTGTAACACATTGTTCGTATGCATATTAGTAAACCTTCTTGGTTACATTGATTATTTAAATGAGTATAACATCAATATCAATGTATAGCATTAATTTAAACAGCAGTTTGAATTGATATTAGTTTTATCGCGTCTTTGGACGGCTCATCCGTGTTTACGTGGTTTGGTGGTTGCATGACGCCAAGTACGTCTTCACCGAGGCGAATTATTTTCATTACGCTCCTACATCGATTTTTCATCGAAAAGGAAAGTCACTGCAATAACCTGAACAATATAATAGAACGTGATAGAAAACGTGAAACCAAATCGATCAATAGTTCATCTATCCAAACCACACATAAACCACTACACCTCAAGCCCAGATAAATTACAAATTAACGAAGCTGGATAGCTTGCATGATAAAATTCAACAAGTGGATGACACAACAGGTGGCATACATACAAAGTACAGACAACATTACTTACATATCTTACAATCAAGGCCACGTAAATGAAAATCTGACCCAGTGATGAGGATGCGAAATGTAACCCCTGGATCAGTTTAACAATGTTCATCTAAATTCACTTAAATATTCGACCACTTTCAGGTTTGATTATATGCTTTACCATTAACTAATTTGTATCACAATTTTCTTTCTTTTTTGGTCTGAGTGAAATGAGGCTAAATGATATAAGTAATGAATGTAATAAAATTACCCTTATTTAATCACTTCTAACAGGGACAATCTAAAGAGGGAAAGGGAAGTTGCACTATACACTCACACCTCTTCAATAGTAATATTATGCCGTGTTAGTCAATCATTGTGGAGACCCACATCCATAAAAAAGACGGATTGCAGTAATTATTTACAGAAAACCAACCACCCATTATCACGAATTATTAGTTAGTTTAGTTGTAAATTTACATTATTGGTTCTAGAGAAAGATTTCATGATTGTCCACTGAATTCTGCCAACCCACGCTGTATTTCTGTCACAAACAAGATGTTACTCTAGTCAGCTGTCGTCAAAGTTTAATATACTAGTACAATCCACACAAACTGATAACCAAAATTGATGCCAGGATAAAGGTGATTACCGTATGTCTGGTGTTATACCATCATCCTATAAGCTATTGGATGATCCATCTTCAATACAAGCTTAGCATATTGTATCTCTGTATGCAGCTGACAAATTATTACACATATATTCTTCTAATGTCGGAATCACATCTTTTTCTTTTCAATTGACAAACGAGTCTATGTTCTTCTTAAAGAACATGATGCTTCTCACTCATCTTTCATCCAGTATCACGCTCCCTCCATGCACCACCACGCCACTGAGAATTTGATAGTACCATCTTCGTGTACAGCTGTCATCAACTAAGACTAATAATTTACGATTACCGGTATAGAAAAGGCGGTTGATGTTCATCTCTGCCAATTAACGGAATTCAATACATTTATTATTTTTACTAAAGTATGATTGTTCACACCGTGAATGAACTTGAGCAATATATAGAATGAATTGTGTCAAATGTCGACGTTTTTTTTTCGAGTGAGACGCTGACTAGTATGTTTCCATCAGTCCTGATCTTTATAACAGACATTCCTAAACGAGGTGTAATCGTTGCTATCATTCAATCTGCCTGTGGTTTAAGTCAAAAGCATCCAGGTATAAATTTTATTTCGGCCATAATAAGCAACTTGTTAGAAACAAAAGGATGCTTCTTGACAAACAGGACACTGAAGCAAAACATATCCTGATTGAAACCATACTTGATATGCCTCCGAGGCACTTACGGTTCGACCTCGATCGAACTTCATGGAACCTGCATTTACTCGATTGGTTGATGAACCGTCTATTCTTCATATTGTCAACCTTAAATATTGATGAACCAGCTCTCAAAATGAACTTGCTCTAAAAATCTTAGTCTAACCTTAGAAGACCTAGACCTAGACCTTGGGGGAAAGTGTTATCATTCCTGCCTTTTATCTACTACTAAATATAAAATGTATATGTATTTAGGCCTTTGAACCAAAGCAAGGATTTACAACATATCCGAATGTCATGACGGCGACAGGCTTTCTAAACAATATAATATGCAAATAGACACAGGGCAATGACCGGTGACATTGGTGGATCGCCTTAACCAATAAATAACGTGCGTATATAGTCAGTGCAGTCTTACGGCTATGCTGAAACGGAGCTGGGGCCTTTTTTCACCCTCCCTGACATGGCCAATATACGTCGAGTTCCCTCATTGTATATACTACAAGATATATGCAAGAACTTGTTGAGTATATAGCCAATCGTGTTCAAATGTTATTTACTTATAGCTAGACAATTATCACACAGTACAATGTAGTATATTATATTATACCAGTATATTGATGGTGTTAATCCATTGATTTGATTGGTCCAAACATAAAATTTGCATATGCAATCCATGGTATATTGGCTGATAATGCACGGCTAAACCAAGTGGCCCTGGAACATGAATTGACTACAGGTTTAATACGGAAATACATAAAACCGGTATTATTTGATTTTTAGGGAAATATAGTGGTTGAATTTTAGAAGAATATTGAAAAAAATACTGAATTAAAAACATCTGAAAAGTTATATAACTATAACTATAATATTGATTTTTGTAAATGTTGGGATCCAAGTTGTGAGCGTCGGTCGTTGGGTGATTGTCGTTCGCCACACAAACCTAAACCACCGTCTCTTAACACCGTGAGGTGTCTACACGAACGCCAGAACGCTATGTTCTCAGTGTTGTTACTTTGAGATGGATTGCGAACTTCCAACAAAGAAAACATGAACTTTAAGTGCAAGATATAATTGAGGGATTTATTGACATAAAAATGCAAAAAACTATGAGTCACAGGCAAAAATGTATGCCACCAATAACAACCGGCAGCTGACAAAATTGCAGTGCACCCGGGTAATTGCCATCTGTTTCAAAAAACACGGGACAACGCAGGATTCGACGACGATATATGGTATTGTAATTCTTCACTATGGGTAATTAAATTACATGAGATGATGAAGGTTTTTCACCGGTTTTTCGACCAGCGTTCCACAACATCTAGCACAGAGCTCATGAAAATGCACGGTAGAGTGGTGCGCGTCTTAGCAACATAGAACGTTTTGTGACATACTCCACCCCTAATGATTATTGAAATTTCCTAAAACATAAATTTCATGTCTCATTTGCATTGGTAAATTCCTTCACGAATGATTTTATATTATGTTTTTTATGTATGTAAACAATAGATCTGAGGATTCCAGAGCAGAACATATGATTCAATAATAACTTTAGAATATTCAGTACACATAAAGCGTTGAAACACAATAAGGTGATTCAAACCTGAGCATGGCAACGGACTTGTTAATTTCGTTACTAAATCTTCAATTGTCTATATTGAGTAAATATCTGAAAATTGCTGCTTCTTCCATTTTACGATTAAAGTGCCTAGGGTGGTTCGTTATTACTTGTATGCAGTTCATAACAATATCTTCTATTTTATAACCTTTTCAAAATGCAAGCAAGTTACATTTGCACTTTTTTTATCTCTAACGTCACTGTAATACTCATTTAATTTAATTTTTGATACAAAAATCTGTTTTACGTATTTAACCTTTTTTAGGCTTACAAACCCCGTCTCCCTATATACTTCAACAACGCAACTAATTTAAATACTATTTCATTTTTTGCATACTTTACGATCAAATTAATATTTGAAAATAACGTAAAATAAACAAAACTTTTCTAAATATTAAATACACTCTGTAAACACGAAAGGTCTAGCAAGTAGACAGTCGAGTGTGAGACCTTATTAAATCCTAATTTTTGAGAAACCTATCTGTGTTAGAAAATCAATAAAACATAAGCACGTTTTTCGTTATATATGCATTAAATGTATCTACCAAAGTATATTCACGTGACATAAATTAAACTGATTACACAGTGGATATTCTTCATTTGTTACATAGGTAAATGTTGTTTTTATCTAAAAACTGTAACATTTACGTTTAAATTCAACAATAACTGAAAATACTTACGAGCACGGCCTTTGGAACTGATGCACGCACCGACATGCAACAAATCTATGTTTGGGCTAAGTAGAATAAATACAAAGAACAGTTAGAAATTAAAAAGTATTTGATAATTTACAAATTGTATACATTATGCAAATTTGCTAATTATTTAATATCAAATAAAAAAATCCTTTTAAATTCATCAAGATAACAGATATTTAAATATTTTAAATCAGGATTAATGAGGTTCCTAACTTGTTTATTGGGTTGTCATGAAAAAGTCACAGCTGTAAATACATACAAAAACATGTTTCATACATCGTCACAGTCAATGCTATATGCAACTTGGTTTGCGTTTTATTGTACATACTATCTCAGTCTTTCATCTTGTAAAAGACTTGAATATGATTTCAAAAACGTGAGTTTTAAACGTCATGTAATTGTACAGTATCCGCCAATCAGATTGCATGTCAATTTGAATTCGATATGTATACTTACACTGACTTTAATCGCTTCATTCTGTGGAGTTGAGTCGTCCATGCCATACTACAGCCGCGTGTTAGACAAAACAGTTACGATGAACGTGAGCAGCAGAAGTAGCAGCAACATAACTCATTTGACGAGAGCTGACACTGCACTTAACAAGAGCGGTCCCAGGAGTAATGGTTTTTCGGATTGGTGGATTTCTGGCAATGCAGAAGCAGCTATATTATTGACATTGTCGTTGGTTGTGATTCTGAGTAACGGCGTTACCATCGTAACAACGTTATTTTCCAAAAAATTGAAGATGCAGTTCCACTACTGGTTTATTTTCAATCTGGCCCTGACGGATTTTCTCTTTGGATTCATTATCCAAATAGAAGCCTTCGATTCGTTAGTAACCATGCCGAAAGAAGTATGTAGTATTTCTATTATCGCTTTACATAGTTTGTCCATACTAACTCTACTGGGTACTGCGATGTTAAGCCTGAACAAGTACATCCAACTGTTCTATCCATTTCACTATCCATTTTTGATCACTGGTCCTCGGCTTATTGGAGTATTCGCTACGACTTGGCTAGGTGTCTTCTCACTACTAATCGGTATTGAAGTCGCATCACACGACGACCACTACAAAAAGAACGGTGAATGTTTCCCGCTGCCAGCCAATATCAAAATCTCTCCGGATGTATACAACGTGTATCTAACATTCGCACTTGTCCTGTACGTGCTGCCGCTCTTGATTATCAGTTACACCAATATTCGCATCACGCGACTAGTACGGGAGCACACTCGACGAATGCGAAATCAGATTGTAGACCAGGAACAAGCGTCTCAGAATGGACTCGGCCTTAATAAGAAGGACTTGAACGCGATCAAGACCGCACTGGTGATCGTTTTGACATTTCTTTGCATGTGGTTGCCTTACTATACTTCCACCATCTTCCGAGGTTATTGCGGTAGTTGTGTAGCGATGAATGCATTCAGCGTGACTAGGCTACTTTCTTTTCTCAACTCTGCAGTCAATCCGATATTGTATGGATTTGATAAAACATTCCGTACATCTTGTAAAAACGTGTTTCTTCGTCTAGATAACACTAGCACAAACACGCAAACAAGTAATTCGTAATTACAGAGTACTAATTTATGGAGAAATCTATCATATCAACTGATGAACTGTATATTATTATATATTTATAGAAGTATAAATGTCTAATCGGGGCTTTATTGGCCAATCTGAATACATTATTTTCCTAATTATAATTTAAATTGGCTCGCATTTGCGTTTTTGTACATCAATTAGGTTCAAAAATGTTTTAATATAACAGTTAATTAAGTGTTTTATAAAGTGGTGATTTGAGCATATATTAGTAATAATAGTAAACTACATTCAAAACAATTACAAATGTACAAATAAATAATTTTTTATATTCCAAGCAGTAAATATTGGCAATTGAATTGGGCTCAAGACTATTCCCGATATTCGATATGAATCTCAGTATTTTGTGATTTGTGCCGTATTAGAGGCTTCAGCCGTCAGAAAACACATATTTGATGCTATTCGTATATTTTTAAATAACATTCGAAACTCGGTCATGGATCCGACTACATACCTACAGATTTTGGATGCCAGTCTTCACTGCGGGTTTGTTTCTTTTGCATAGCAAATATAGCATTTGAATAATATTACAGTGTTTGGGTATTGGTGTCTAATTGTTATTACATATTGATTTATTTTTGTGGAAACAGAACATTTATTATTGATTGTTATTATGTATTCTTGTGGTGTATATTGTATAGAGAAGCATTCTTAATTGACTTTCCATTTTCCATTACTAATTGTTGACATGTTGGAATGTTATCAAATTTCATTAAACCAATGGTTCACACTATGGGTGTCATTTCGTTCTGTCTGTCTCTGTTCTGTAAAACTATGCATTTAATGTATGATCTTGCCATATCTTGCCTGGAATTGTCATTTATATTGCATTTGTTATTTCAGCAAATTGTGAAGGTACTTGAATATTGGATATTAGTGTTATTTTAAGCATTCTCATTTTCGATGATTCAAAACGTCTATCCAATTTAAGGTTAAATGCACAACTTTCACAAACATGCACGAGTACAGACCCGGACAATTCTGAACGGAGTTGTGCGCTAATGATGAGCGTTAGATTGCAACTTCTACCTCGCAAGTCCCTGATGCACATCTGGGTCGTTTTTTTTCTCTATCTGATAATCGATCTATTGTACATACACACAGAAACAGTTACAAAACATACAAGTGTAGCAATGTGGTTTGTAGAAATGTTTTTCCAAAACTGGTAAAATCAAAGATAAGACAATTAAAACCCATCGAATTTATGAAATAGTAAACTCATTATCGTAAACTTACTGGAAATAATCAAATAATTTTTATTAAACTTCTCGTATATTTACTATCAGTTAAACCACCATGTTTCTCTGTCTTTATGATGATTTAAACCGCTACCATTGTATTCATATGCAGAGTGTAAATTGTTATAGTAGCCCGTGGTTCTGGGAGTATAAAACATTTACCCGTGGGGCTCCGCGAAATCACTCTTTTCGGCAATCATAATTCGTGATGCATGGTATTTTTTGTTTTACACAACCAAAGTTAAATAAGGTACACACTTGTGTAGATATTTTACAAATCGAGTTTCGCCTAAAAACGACATGTTAGTTTTAGACAGTCGCTATGAGTTTATAAAATGACTCAATCATAAGGTCATTGAAAAATCAAGTGTTAAATCAATTTTATTTATTTAATCTCTAGCAGCATTTATGTAAATTGACCCCCACAGACCACATCGGCATGGATGAATCAGTAGGTTGCACTATTTTCTGTTGTTCTCCCATGTTGCTGTAAAAGCAGGGTTCAAATGATCATGCTTTGTCTTTTGGCTAAATTGAACACCAACGAGAGACCACGGCGCCGGCATTGTTACAATTTATCAACGTACGTTCCCACGTAACTTTGAAAGAACGGTATATGCAGTGTTCTATTAAAGAATCTAGAAACGCAAACGCACTATTTGTAATTTAATAAAACTAAAAAAACAGGGCAGAATATTTGGTACAATCGGATGAGCGCAGTCCGTATTCTGTCGAAAATGAACCAGTGGTAGAACCATATGATATGAAAATATACGAGAGATATGCTGGACATCATATAAAAAGTGACAACTGCAGTGAAACTTCAAGTTGGGAAACCAATCAAAGATAAGGATGCAAGTCACGCTGAGAGTTGCAGCAACACTCACGACATTTTTCACCACAAGCAATTCACGTTTCACTCTGGGCACTACGTTTCACTAGAACGACAAAATACCAATAGTCCGTAAACAAGCATTTGATGATGGTAGCGGCAGGACATTTCAAAGAAAGTGGGATGTAATACAACTGACGCCCGAGTGCCTGGGGTAGGGTGATCAATGTAGTGTGATAGACGCGGCCCGTGGCCGGGGGGGGGGGGTATTCCAAGTCAGACCTGGTACCCATGCTGAAGTATAGCTTTTCAAAAAAGACATACTTATTCTTGTGAAATTATACCCCTTTTCAAGTGCAGAAACTTAAAATAGACACTCTATAGACATACTAAAATCACACTGTTTCCAAGTTGAGACAACATGAATTCATGAGATTCTTTTTCTTTTACAATTTATTACTATATTCTAAGTTACATCCGAGTTCAATACGGTACACGCGTATACGCTTCAAATAACTAAAAAACACTCCTTTTACGAGTTTTTTACTTTAGCTTGCCTACCATATTTTATTCAGATCCTAAAATTAATAACCGTGTCAAGGTAAAAACAAAGAAAATAGTTTCATGTTTCACAATTCTAACTTATGGAAATAAAATGGTTGTCATCTTATCGAAATCTAGCTCAAAAAGTCGACTTGCGTGAATTTAATAAGGATAACTGCAAAATATGAGCTAGTATTAAAGTGAAGTGACTTCTGGCTGAATGCTCTTTGCGGTCTTCGTATATGGGGCTCCGGTTTTAATTATGAACCTTCATGTTCATGTCTTACTATAGCAATCAGCCTACCGAATTGTATGTCTTCAAGTTGTTACTAATTAGCAACATTCAATTTGCAAAAAAGTATGAAACAAATTGCCGCGTTGTTTGAGATTTTTCATTGCGTTATTGGAAATTCAGAAACCGTGATATAAAACGGTAGTACTAAAGTTAAAATTCAGTGACTGACAAACACATACACTTAATTGTGAAAGAAAACGTTCAGTAGCAGAGGCAACTGAAATAACATTGTCGAAATTTGGGCTTGTGGCACCTTTATAATCCTAGCAATATTATAACTGTGCCAGTTTATAGGAATAGTGTTTCACTGTGAGTCGACCATGAACGAAATAAACCCATACAAGTGCATTTATTAGATTGAGTGGCTTCCCTGGGCGTCGAACAAAGTGTGTCGATAATGTAATCGCGGGGATTGCAAAGCCACAGTTTAAAATGCAGTGCAGTCGCCACAGGGTTTAAGGACAGCAACAGGAATGCTAATGATAGTGACCCGTTTGGGGTTGAGAATCCAGTGAACGGCCGCGGCTGTATTTGGTCGAGGTTCTAGTAAATGTCCATAGTTTGTAGGACCCACAAACTTTTACTAAGAGCGGAAACCTAAGACTGATCGTTAACTGATAGTTAAAGGATGGCTACGAGGACGCTAATGGAATAAATACGTTATGGTTCATCACTACAGTTTGCTATCATTCGATAACGGACAGTATTTGTTCAGCTTTTACTGGGAAAGTACTGTATCTTAATCCCTTAACAATATCCATTTACTTGTGTGTTCTCAACAATATCCATTTACTGAGAGAAGACTGTCTTCCATATCTAGGTTGTTCATAATGACTCAAGTGAAGAGCGCAACGCTCCCCACTATTTAAAAATTGTAATTTTTTTAAGCAGCTGTGTGAATGCATTAAATAGCTAAGCAGGTTGGTTGTGTTTGGAATCAACATGTAATTTACTATGATATGTACATGAATCAGGTGCGATTTCTACAAGGCATTGTCTTAATGTCAAATGTACACTGAGACGACACACTGCCCGTAATCGTGAGGGTGTAGAATAAATCACCTAAGACTCACCAATTCGCAGTATTATTTTGATAAAGTATGGGCGCTAACGGTAGTCAATAGCTTTGTGATCAAAGTTTCAGTAAACATCCGTGACCATAGGGCAAGAAGGTTTAATAGAATAGTATTACTTTTTACCTCCATGCTGGTAGTTAAAGCGGGGGAGTCGTCACCTGCGCATGCGTCAGATGACCATAGCGTGTCATCGTTTACAAACGAGCGTCTACGTTTTAAGCGTGTGTTGTTATCGTCGCTTGGGACTCAATTCCCGCGCGTGCGCAGTGA